TACATCAAGTTACTTTATTACTTCCTATTTCATACTTGTCTTGGTCAGGTCAACATATTTTTGTTTTTAGAAAAGTATCAATGGTAGAAATACATCAAGTTACTTTATTATTTCCTTTTTCATACTTGTCTCGGTCAGGTCAACATATTTTTGTTTTCAAAAAAGTATCAATGGTAGAAATACATCAAGTTACTTTATTACTTCCTATTTCATACTTGTCTTGGTCAGGTCAACATATTTTTGTTTTTAGAAAAGTATCAATGGTAGAAATACATCAAGTTACTTTATTATTTCCTTTTTCATACTTGTCTCGGTCAGGTCAACATATTTTTGTTTTCAAAAAAGTATCAATGGTAGAAATACATCAAGTTACTTTATTACTTCCTATTTCATACTTGTCTTGGTCAGGTCAACATATTTTTGTTTTTAGAAAAGTATCAATGGTAGAAATACATCAAGTTACTTTATTATTTCCTTTTTCATACTTGTCTTGGTCAGGTCAACATATTTTCGTTTTCAAAAAAGTATCAATGGTAGAAATACATCAAGTTACTTTATTATTTCCTTTTTCATACTTGTCTTGGTCAGGTCAACTTATTTTTGTTTTCAAAAAAGTATCAATGGTAGAAGTACATCAAGTTACTTTATTACTTCTTATTTCATACTTGTCTTGGTCAGGTCAGCATATTTTTGTTTTTAGAAAAGTATCAATGGTAGAAATACATCAAGTTACTTTATTATTTCCTTTTTCATACTTGTCTTGGTCAGGTCAACATATTTTTGTTTTCAAAAAAGTATCAATAGTAGAAATACATCAAGTTACTTTTTTTATTTCGTTTTTCATACTTGTCTTGGTCAGGTCCACATATTTTTGTTTTCAAAAAAGTTTCAATGGTGGAAATAAATCCTTTTTGAAACTAAAATGATTGAGCGAAAGCTTCTTATTTTGAGTACGGGGTAACAAGTTAATCGATTACACCGGGGAACAAATTCTTTGTTGCATTTATGCGAATAATTGATCTCACCTAATTCAAGTGTGAGTATTTCAAATCTGAAATTAGTTTTGTTCCAAAGGCTACAAATTTTCTTTTCAAAATGATGTTTTTAATTTAGTTTATTTTTATCCGAATGCACCAGTTATATAAATAGCATATAAGTTCAAATACATGCTCATACATTTTTCTGCTCCTTTGAAAGTAACACTTAAAACACTTATGACCCTAATGTATCGTATTATAAACTGAAATGCATTATTCTTTCATCCTACCACTCCCTACGTAGCAGAGAAGTGGTATCAATTAGCATTCACTTGAGGGAATTTTAAAATTTTTGGTTAGGAATATATAATTAAATCGCATTAAGACTATAGCTTGTAGATTTAAAAACATCGAAGTGAAAGGTCTAAGACTCATAAAAAAATCTCGTGTAACTTAAAATGACATTAAAAATCAATTGTTTCATAGCGTTTTTTATAATTCTAGTTGCGTGATTTTTTAAAAATTGAAAAACTTGTATAAAGAGAAGTCCCAGCCAGGAAAAGTTTAAAAAGTCAGGAGAATTGTTTTATAAAGTTATTGTAAACTCATATTTGCATATCCTAAATTCGTATTTTCAATTGCTTGCATAACCGTCAACTTCAGTCATCCACCCTCAAGCAGAAAAACGAAATTAGTTGAAAAATAAATATAATTAGCAAATATTTCTAGCTTTCTTCTAGATTTTTACAGTAAATTGCTGTTAAAATTTATACTTGATACCATTTTTTTTCTGATTATAAAGGATTTTTTTTAATTCGTCATGATTATAAATAGTTTCTTTTCTTAAAATCTGAATTTAATTAATTTTCAATTTAATGATGGTTGGTCACCGTCATGGTTCAGTAGCTTGAGCACTGAACTGTCATTGTGAAGAACTGGGTTTGATCCCCGGAGGTGGCTTGAAGCCCACCCAATAGGTACCCGCTTGTCTAGGAAGTAAAGGCGGCCTGTGTGCAGTGCTTACTACATTACCACAATCATGCCGTTGATCTCAAAATTGTAAAGCCTCAACCTTCATCCCCCTGGTCCACATCGGGCTGATGCGGAAATCCTTTAATTTTTTTTTTTTTTGGGGGGGGGTACCCACTCACAAGTAAACAAAATTATAGGAATAGATCATTTGAAGAAGTTGATATCATCTTGTTAAGTGCCAGAGGTCTCCAACGATCATGAGCGGTGTGAAAAAGCGCTGAATAAAAACAACATTGCATTTAAAAATTGACTTGAAATGTACTGTTTCAACAATCTATTAACTTCACATGCTTAAAGTTGCAATCAATTTAGATGCGGTGATGCCTTATATCTTTATAAGGCCGTGGTAAGTATAGTTCCCACCAACTTCATTAATTTTTAAATGTCAATTAGATATTTTATCACCTTCCTCTTATGCTGTCATCTACTGATTACGTCAGACTATACAAAAATAAGAAAAACAGAACATAACATTTGGTAGATACTGCTTATATACTGTTATGTAAGCTTTGTTTTCATAAATGTGGGTAACAGTATGGGTTAGCCAGGAATCAAGAAGAGCGGTCAACATGGGGAGCCATTTTCTCTTGATATCAATCTTTCATCATATCTCATCGAGTTTGTTAGTAGTCATAAACACCGAATTTGTAAATTCGGTTATTTATAAGAGCAATGATTATAAGAGCAATTTATAAGAGCTCTTCATATCAATCTTTGATCATATCTCATCGAGTTTGTTAGTAGTCATAAACACCGAATTTGTAAATTCGGTTATTTATAGGATCACGCGTTCAAGTTTATGGTCAGTTCCTTACAGCGAACTCCACCCGTTCTCCCACTGAAAAAAGCTGATTCAAATATTACATTAATATTCGATAGTAAACCTAAATTACTTCGTTCTTATAGATAAATCAGAAGCCTAAAAATATTCTAACAAAATGAAACTAAAAAGATGTGTTTGTAACTTACCGTAAACTCATTAACGAATTCAAAAAAAANAAAAAAAAAAAAAAAAAAAAAAAAAAAAAAAAAAAAAAAAAAGAACAGATACATTCAAACAATTTCTTGGCTCTTCATGAACTCATAATAATTGTCACTTCATGGATTTATGAGTAACACTTCATAAATTAGTAATGAATGATACTTCATGAACACATAATGAATAAAAACTTTAGGAACTCATAATAAATTACACTTCATGAACTCATGATGAATGACATTTCATGTACTGATAATGAATGGCACTTCATAATGAAAACTATATATCATAGTTTCAAAATTTACGGAATGATTAGAGGTTCCGTTCCATAATTGCGTCACTCAATAGATCCATGCTAGCTACGCAATAATTTTTGTTTGTCTGATTTTTAAAACAAAATTCAAAATTATTCAATTAAAAGGTCCTCTAATTTTTATTGTACCGACGCAGATTTAATTCCCGATGCAATTGGGATAAAATTTAAACCTAATTCTTTTTCTAAGTTATTTTTTTTTCTTCATAATCCTCCGTGAACAGCAACCCCAATTCTTAGGGTTTACGACTACTAATGTTCAATTCCGTAGTCTTGTAATTTTGAACCCAATCCAGAAGACAAGGGAACTCCTGTATCAAGTATTGGGAGAAATTTGCTTTCGTGGAGGACTTTTTGATGGAACTAACCAGCAGTTGCGTTACATAAGAAGGAAAACCACGAAAACCTCCCGCTGTAAGTCTGACAGCAAGGGGACTCTAATCCATTATCCGTCTATCACTAAGGATATTTTACGTCAACACTGTGGCCGGATGTGGAATTTGTATCGACCAGCCATTGCTGGGATTCGAATCCAGTTCACCTCATTGAACGGCGAAAGCTCTATCTGAACATTCTTAGTTACTATTGTAACTTTAGTTACAAACAAGATTTTCTTTAAACATGTATTTAATTTTTGGTTACCAAAACAACTGTTGCTAAATGTTTTCAGCAAAAAAGGATTAAAAATTGAGAACTTAGGATATGCGCATGCTTGTCCAAGAACATTTTTAATTGCTCTTTACTCAAAAAAAATTCTGAACAACTGCCTATGGAAGCAAATATTGCTAAAATTAAAAACTGTAGATAATTTGAGTATTGCTTTTGCTTGCTTTAACACGTTGAATGGCTCTCTAATTTTACACCACTTGCCCTTCTGGCCGAAATGATTTTCTCGGTATGTATTGCATTAATGTCTTCAAATCATTTTCGATAATAATATTAAAAAATTAAAAGCATTGAAAAATTTACTCGAATTATGTGTTTCTAATCCTGGCTTCTCAGCTTACCGGTGACCCTGTGGCGCTACGAACAAACTCAGTGTCTGTCACCGGTGACCCCCATGGCATTCAGCGAATTAAACTTAATTTTTGAAAATAAAAAGAAAATAATTTTAAAGAAAATATAAAAAAATTTTAAATCTCAACAATATTCAAAATGAATTTTATCGTGTTCAGTATAATTTTTGAAAAGAAAAAGAAAATAATTTTAAAGAAAATATAGAAACATTTTAAGTCTCAACAATATGCTTAATACTTCTTTCATTTTCGACTTCCGTTCTCAGTTTTCATTTAAATGTTTGAGTTCAAAACTTGTTTTAAAGTAATTTTTTTTCCTTTTTGACAGTGCGCAAAATTATATTGGATAAAATGAACATGGAGACGCATCTGCAAGAGATACTGAAATTGTTAGCAAAATCACAGAATGCAGCAATCGACCAATTTCTGCAATACGATGAAATAAACCAAAGCCATGTTTACACAAATACATTAATAGCCTTAAAAAACGCAATAGAAACCAATGATACAGAGAAGTTTAAAGAATTATCGCTTGTCTTGGAGTTTCTGAGTGATGTGAACATTTTTCAGAACTTAATTCCCTGCTTTAATTGCCATGACAATCCCTTTCGAATGTCTAATGTGGTCATTCTGATTTGCAAACACAATCGATTGGAAATATTGAACCACATATTCAGTGATGCGTCATCGATTATCAGTGATCTTTCCATTAAAGTTGGCAGGACAATTCCTTTGCCCACCGATAGGGACGACGAAGCCCACAATGCTTTTTATTACGCTGTGCGTTCGGGAAATACGCAGCTTCTTGAAGTCTTAATGAAGAAGTGGCCATTGGATTATTATTCTTCACACACTGGAGAATTGTGTTCTCTACTTTCAAAGAGCTTGCATGAGTTATCGATAAGAAATGTTGACGTATCAATCGAAATGAAGATATTTATACAAAGTTTTTTATTTGACTACTGCTTCGAGGAAAATCCTCCTTCTGATTCAAGTGATTATGCTCATGATGATATCCAAGAGAGAATATCGCTTATATTGGAGTACAGTGATTCAATTAAAACAACGTACAGAAACATGGAATCTAAGGACCTCATCATTTTCTCAGCGAAGCAAATAGCTCTAAATATATTCACATTGAAAAAATGGCTAAAATCTACCTATGATAGAATTCCTTGGGAAGAAATGGAATTTCACTTAATCTCCTTTATCCGGTATCTGAATAACCAAGGGAGCTACATCAACTGCTTCGTAACAGAGACTGATTTTGTGAAATATCTTAGTAATTTTTCACAGTGTTTAGAAACAGAAACCTGTGATATCAAAAATATGGACTTGGGAAAGTTAGGAAAGTTTCCCGAAATCAATCGTGACAATATGGTTCATGGCATTATTGATAAATATCCGTATTTGGAAGAATTTTATCGAAATTATCAATTTATTCGGGACTATGAGTCCCTTAGCATCATAAAAAAACACGTTGACATAGCAACTCGAGTGACCCCTCTTGAAAAAAGTGGAAAAACTGTCATTGTTAGGGCATTGCAAGTTATAGGCGAGAATGTAAAAAATACATTAGAATCGCCTAAACTATCTACCGCAACGAACGATTATTTGATGTCGTTTTTACCTCCTCAAACAAATAGTATTTTAAAAACTTTACGAAATTCTTTTTCGCATGATTTTCCTTTATCAATATGTCAAGAAATAGAAAAAATGTTTGGTTCTGAATTTTACACATTTGTTCAAAAAGACGTCAAAAGTTTAGATCACGGAATCACTTCAGTTCTTCAGAAAATAAAGTCTAGAACTCTTGTAATTCTGATGGAAAAAGTTTGCGATTGTGAAGACATTGATACATTCAAAGACATATCTCGTATGACTCCAATGATAAAGTTAAATGACGGTGTAAAGTTTTTACCGGTAAACACTGATGCAACTGAATTAGAAAAACTCATATCTGACCTAAGGAATGTCATAAAAGTGAAAACTAATTTTGAAGAAAACATTTTTTCAAAAATAGCAGATCTTATTAATTTTGAAAAGACTTATTTAAAAGATTCCGAAAATAAATTTTATGCAGGCCTAGTAACATTACTAGGTGCCGCACGCTTCCCGGTATGCAAAATTGATAATTTGTATTTTGCAGAGAGAAAAAAAATCATCAGTGATTGGCTAAAATGTATAAAATTTCAACTCATATCACGTAACTTTGCAAAAATCGGATCATTAGTACAGACACTTTACAAGAGTTATATGTCTAAAGTAGATAAGCAGGATTGTTCAAAATTTTTTTCTATAATTTTTAAGATTTTTTACATAACTGAATGCCAAGAACAGGAAGTTAAATACCTTCAGAAACTCAGGAGAACTTATGAAAAAACTGTCAAAGTAACTAAAAAGAAAATCGACGTCATTAAAATGTCACCATTTGCAAGTTTTCAAGACATCATATTGGAGGACATTACATGCTTAAGGAAAATTACAAGTGAGCATAATTTATCGGAAAATAACATTAAATCGTTCCTTACATTTAAAAATAATTTGAAACTACAAGTAGAAATTGAAATGCTTATCCTATCCATTTTAGCTAGCCTAGAGCATTCTGATCTTTCTTTATTAACGAGGCAACAATTTATGGAGGATGATAACTTTTTATTGTTTGGCAGAAGTCTTAGAAATTATCTAGCTCATGGAAATCCTCTTGTGGACATTGTAATGGATTCATGTCTGTCAATATTTTTATTTTCTATGAAAGTTATCAAATATGATATTTATAAAAAAGGTAGTGTTTTCATGAATATTTCAAAAACTAGATCGAATGCTAAATCTTTAGTAGAAAACCAAGAAGGACTGTTCTGCGCTCTGTCTAGTAATTCCTTAGACAAGGTGATACACTGGATCAAAGAAGGGGCTGATATCCATGGAAGAGACAGTAATTTGATGACAGCTTTACATTTTGCTTCGAAATCTTCTAACATTAACATTCTGAAGTTCTTAATTAAATGTGGATTGAACCCAAAAGTCAAGGATATTTATAATCGAAATCTCCTCCATACAGCAGCTGCGTCAGGATGTGAAGATGTAGTTCGTTATATTATAGAAGATCTAAAAATAGCTGTGGATGAAGAGTGTGCAGGAAGGCAAACAGCACTGCATATTGCGGCGGAAAATGGTTATGTGAACATCGTAAAGACTTTACTCAATCACAAAGCATCGATATACATTAAGAACCGCTATGATTGGACGCCCATACATATCGCTGTAAATAACAATGAAGTTGAAACTGTTACCTTATTTCTTAAAAATGTCGAAAATATCAACTTGATTCGTACAACAAGTGGTTGGAAAACACGTAAACTTTCAGGTGGGTTTACTTTATTACATTTTGCAGCTGAGCGGGGTCTCTTGGAGATGGCAGCTTGCTTACTGCTTAAAGGAGCTGATGTTAATTCTGAAACCGAAACATTGTTCACAGCATTGCACCAATCAGCTTACTCTGGTCACACAGAGATTGTCGCAATGTTGATTTCAAAAGGAGCAAACGTTAATGCTGAGGATTCAGATAAAGACACTCCACTTCACTACGCTGCAGCAATTGAACACGGATCTACAGTTGAGGTTCTGCTGAAACATGGGGCAAATTTAATGGCTTCAAATAATGAAGGATATCTACCTTTACATTACGCTATTATGCAAGGAAGTATTAGCTTGATAAAAACTCTCATGAAGCCAGGAAAAAGTATTAAAGATGTTACGCTAAAGGGTGAATCCATACTCGAGTATGCAATTTCTCATGAAAATTTGGACCTCATTAATTGCTTAATTGATAATAAAACACCCATTAACTATAGAAACGTTGATGGCAACACTCCTCTTCATCTATGCGTACAAAGTGGTTCAATAGATATTTTGCTGCGATTAATTGAATGTGGAGCCGACATTAATGCTAAAGATAAAAACGGTATTTCACCTTTGTGCCTTTCCATCATGCTAGGTTACTATGATATTGCTGAAAAGATTTTATCGCAGAAGGTTGACATTTATTCCGTTAATGAAGGAGGGCAAACTTTACTGCATATCTGCTCCTCAGTCTCGAAAAATTTGATACATTGGGAAGGAAATCGTGCAGTGATTATGACGAATGTAAATTATGAAATCGAATCTAACACGAAAATGCTTAACATCTTTAAAGCGCTTGTTAACAAAGGTCTGAATTTCGAAATAAAAAATGACTATGGCCAGATGCCTTTGCACTTAGCTTGCATGTCAGGTAATATTGAAATCGCACGATATTTAATCAAAGAGTTGACTGACATTAACGTCCATGACAAACTTGGGTATACACCCTTACATTACGCAGTTGAGTGCAATAATCTCGAAATTATTAATTTGCTGTTATTGAGTGAAAAATGTTCTTTAAACTCTGTCACACACGGAGGTGATACTGCATTGTGTTTGGCTTCAAAAAGCGATTATGCTGAAATAATTCAGGCGTTGATCAAAAGTGGTGCTGATGTAAATGACGGTGATCCCCTCTATAAAGCTCTCTCGCGGGGACATCAAGACATATGTATAATTCTTCTTCAAAGTAAATCAATTAATATCGAGAAACAATTCAAAGATAAAGGTGAAACTTTTCTAAATATTTCCTCATTCAAAGGTCTAGAACGAGTGGTTTCTTATTTTTTAGGTAAAAAAAAACTTTCGGGGTTAGTTAACATAAATAACGCTTTGTTCCTTGCTATTCAGAATGGTTTTACTGACACTGCAACTATCTTATTAAATCATGGAGCCGATGTGAACATGGTTAATAAAAATCATGACACCATGTTACATCTAGCATCTTCTTTAGGCCATACCGAAATCATAAAAGAACTGTTAGATAAAGGAGCTGATTTTAATAAACTAAATTCAAACGATCAAAGACCCATTGAACTGGCTATACTGCATGGACATTTGAATTCAATAAAAATATTTTTGCAGAATAAAACCACGGACTTAAATTCAAAATTAAAAAACGGTCATACTTTTTTACATATTGCAGCACAATGTGGGCATCTAGATGTGGTAAAATTTCTAATAAATGAAGGTGCTGCAATTAATATAGTTGACGATTTCGGTTATAAACCAATACACATATCAGTTCGAGATGGACATTTACAGATTGTTAAACACTTTATTCAATGCGATGTAAAATTGTTAACAGAACGTGGATGTGCAAATCAGATTCTTCTGCACTATGCAGTTGAAGCAGGCCAGACAGATATTGTTAAATATTTAATTGAAAAGGGAATGGATGTCAATGAACCGGGTAATGATGGAGTCAGACCAATTCATTTAGCTTCAAGATTAGGTAATGTGGAAGTGCTCAAAGTACTGCTGAACAATGGTGCCTTTTATGACTGCGTTGATGATACCTCTCATAAAACACCTTTGCTTCTTACGGAGAAATTACCTATTAAAAAAACATTATTGATGATTGAAAAACTTTTTATCTCTGTTAAAAATAACAAAATTTCAAACGTAAAATCTCTTGTTGATAATGGAGCATGCATCCATGCCAAGGATTCGAAAACTGCTACACTTTTGCATTATGCTGCCTGGAAAGGTTATGGTGAAATTCTTCGAATCCTATTGGAAAACAAGGCAAATCCTAACGTATTTGGGAAAAATAACGTTACACCTCTTCATTATGCTTCTACTTATGGCAAAATGGAAGCAGTAAAAATTCTGCTAGAAAATGGTGCGATGTATAACGTAATGACAGATGGTAGAAAAACTCCTCTTGATCTAGCTTCAGATAAACATGTTTTTGATTTATTAAATTTAATAGATAAATCTTTCAAGGGTGTGCAGAATTCAAATACACAAATTTTGGGCATTCTCAAAAATTTTGAAAATTTTGTTTTCTTGAAATGTTTATCGTGCTCAAAAAATAAGGAAGGAAAAACTCTATTGGTTTGTGCCATTCTCAATGATTTTCCAGAAATCAAACATCTTAAGTCGATATTTTTTGAACCTCTTGAATCTACGAGTAATATGTTCGAGCAGTTAGTTGCCACAGAGCGTTTTGATGAAGCGTTAAGCATACTAAATAATTTTCAGAAAAAAACGCAGCAAATGTTTGGCCCAAACAACCCCATTACATTGGATATTGAACTAGATTCTGTTGTGATGCTCTACAGGCAGCAAAAACTCAAAAAAGCCCTTTCCAATGCTCAAAAATTGCACCAAAAATGGAGAGAGATGTTTGGACAAAGAAACAGTCGCACTTTAAAAACGCAATCATTAATAGCTTCTATTTCGCACAGCTTGGGCAATAGTTTAGAAGCGATAGAAATTTTTCGCGAGGTTTCCTCATTGCAAAAGGAAATTTTTGGATTTGGGAATTCTGATACTTTGAGAACATTCAGCGATTTGGCGATGGTAATGGACGACCTTGGCTGGCATGAAGAAGCACTGAATATAAATCATACTATTTATGAAAAATATCTTGAAATATATGGTTCAAATCATTTTCTAACTGCTATAACTCAAAATAATATTGGGAAATCTTTAACTCTCTTGTGTAAATATGACGAGGCCCTACATTACTATAATTCTGTTTATGAATTTTTAAAAAAAGAAAAAGGTGTAAATCATTCCGCAACTGTAACGGTGCTTCATAATATCAAGCATGTATCATGTCTTCAAAATTTATCTGATAATACTGTCGAAGGTTATCGGGAAATTTTGAAAATTCAGGAGAAAGTCTTAGGCCCGAAGCATGTACAGACATTAAAGACAGAAAATAATTTAGGAAAGTTATTATTAGAAAGAGGTCAATTCATGGAAAGTGTTAAGATTTTTAAAGACAATGCTGAAAAACTTAAGACTGTCTTGGGGGAGAAGAATTCAACAGTCTTAGAAACGGAACTATTTATAGAAAAAATTAAATATGGACTTGATTTTTTGGAAAACATTTAGTATTAATTAATGTAAAAAATATGAAGCATTTAAATTAGTGTTATATAAATTTAAGTTGGTTTTTAGAAAAAAAACGAAATTTGCGATTCCAAATCAAACAATGACGAGTACATTACGTTGAGCGAAGGGCAAATACCCCTGCTATAAATTTACAACCAATATTTTTTAACAGGTATTACATATTCAAATTTTGTGATTTTTTTTATTCAAAATAAAGTAGTTAAATAGATTTTAATTAATAGTAGAGCTCTTTTTACTCCTCTGAAAACTAAATAATTGAATTTATAATCAAAGAAATTCGTTTATTATTATTTTACACTGCAAATATACACATTATATGCACCGTGATAGTGATTTGATTCGTTGCGTAGACGCGTCAAATCAGCGAACTCAACTGTTTCAAAAATTATTCCATTTGAATAAAACATAATATTTTTTTAAAGTTTTAGTTTTGATTCTGCCATGCGTAATTTTATATTGTTCTTTAGAAAAGTGGCCAAACATTTCTTGTTAAACATTACAAAAACTTTTTGTATTGTTAATTTTTCGTTTTAAGAACATGATGTTTAAGATGAAATATGAAATAATATTAGGATTTCATTAAAATCAAGTATTTATCAATATGTTTGTCAATTTAGAAGAGTGTAAATTGTTTCTCAATTACTATGATTTAATTTTTTATAATGTACCAAAATAAAAGTTTTAAAATGTTCTTAAATTCTTTATTTATTGATAATTGTCTCTTTATAATCTAACTCTCCAAGAAGTTTTCAATATTTTTAATACTTATTTTGTAAAAATGATTTCCGTACTAATTTTAGAAACTAAAGTGAGGCAAAATGGAATAAGCAAAAGAAAAGACCACTTTGAATAACATTTTGTCTAATGATCGGATATTTACGTTTTAGGACTCAATGGTACAAGAGGGTAACCTAAAATATGCTAATTAATTAGTGCAGACGATATTTTAAGTTACGAAAACAGACACAGAAACTTACTTTCTCTCAATATACATCTTTTTGTGACGGATTTCTTAGTCCCAAAATATAGAGGGTTGCTGTAGTCAGGGAAATATGGTCCAATAGATAAATCAGGAGAATGCTACAAAGTTTGGATTCCTTAATATTATTTTTACTTTTGCGAAAACCTTTTAAGCGAGATTTAAAATTTTTGAAGTCAATTATAAAACTCGTTTATCTAAAGATAATTCCATGAAAAAATAAATTTTAGTAAATATTTAATAGTTTTTATTATTTCATTTTATAATAGTCGAAAAATTTTGAACAGAGAAGTACTCAATTTTGTACCTCATTTTAAAGAATTTAGTTTTAGATGGAAAAATAGAAACCTTGAGTAAAATCAATCGAATAATTTCTGAAAAATCGAAATTAAAAACTACGACTCTTTTAAAAATTACGATACAACGGAAGTAGACACCCCGGATATAGTAGTAGACGCCCCTTTTCCAGAGTCGAAAATGAAAAATATTTATACCATGATAATACTGTCAGTCGAAGTGTATAGTTTGTCTAAAGTAAGAACTCCCTTAGCCATTCGTCTGGACCCGTGGACGAGTATAACTATTTTAAATAGGAGCGTGGAGTCTTTCCTTAGAACAAGTTTTGGTTCGAGTTGACGATAGAAAGAGAATCATTTTCTTCCGTCTACGGTGTTAGTCCTAGAGAGAAGAGAAGCTTCCCTACCTGAAATGCACTACTCTTGTTTCCATAGCAACAGACGGCCTCAGACTTTGTGGTGGGGGAATTCTTATTGTAGACAAACTATACCTCTCCAATCTAATAGTGAAATATTATTTTGATACGATAATTAATTGTTATCCATATATGATAACTTCAGACGACAATAATCAATTTGAAAGCCACAATTGAATCTTTTCATTATACGATCACTTGAATTTTTTTTTAGAAATGTTTTTTCATTATGATAGCAAATAATGCAAAGTTCGATTTGAACAAAATTGAAAATTTGATTTTTATACTTTAAAAGCGTCATAAAGCAAACTAGCATGAATTTTTTTAAACATTGACAATTTTTACTACAATTCTAGAGTATATAGAAAAGAAACATTTTTTTTCTCTTAGCGCGGCAAAATGGCAATCCTCTAGCAGTTGCGTTTTTAGCGCCATGCTACGGCAGAAGGCTTAACTACTAGTTATGGATAAATTTATCGTTTCCATCTATTATTTTTTTATTTAAATTTATAATGTTCTATGTAATAGTTTGGTTGTTTCATTTTAGTTCTATGAATTATTTAGATATTACACTTTTAAGCACATTGTCTGTTTTTGAAGACAAAAGTACATTTTGTAAAGAAAATTACGATTTTTTTGAAATTATTTTAAATTTTGTTAATTTCCTTGTTCTTATATTTCTTTCATTTGCTTAATTTAATACATATTAACATGGATGGCATGCACCATTGATCCTTTTCAACTAATGAAAGAATTTAAACCGAAAAGAGTTATTGATATAGCTTTCTTTTCTTTTCATTTTTCTGTTCATAGAAGAATTTATTAATATGACAGAATAGAAATAGACAAAAGTAAATAAAACTATTAAAGAATTTTTTTTTATGTATAACAGAACTAAAATCTAAAACAAAAGATTTGGAATGGGATTCCTAAAAAGTGAGGTAATGTGGGTATCTCGATCCTGATTAGTTATTGAAACGTGGCATTTGTTTACGTCAGTAACTGTAACCAAACCCGCCACGTATCCAATCTCTTAAATGACTTCTTTTATAGTCTTTTACAAAGATTTCAATATTTTCACTATAAATTTCTCTCTTAACACAAAAAATACAAGGCGAAGCTATGTATGGTGAACATAAACAAACTATTGTAATTATTAAGGCCCAGATTTTGATGACATTTGCATTTTTGGACATTTTTTCTCATTTAGAGCAATTTTTTAGATTTATAGGGCATTTTTTCTTAAATTTTGGGGCGTATTTTGCATTTTAAAGCATTTTTTTAAGTTTTTTGTTAATTTTTTCCAATTTTTATTATTTTGGGGGGCATTTTTATTACATGAAATGCAATATTTGTCTTATAATTTTACATTTCATATTTTATTTTATAACCGTCGTTGATCAGCCGACCCAATGTTTGGGTTTACGAATACTAATGTTCAAGTCCGTAGCCTTGTAATTTTGAACCCAATCCAGAAGACAAGGGAACTCCTGGATCGAGTATTGAAAGAAATTTACATTTCACATTGTAACTCTCAATACCACCTGCATGCCATTATGTTTTTCCATTTTATTGATTGATATAAAATCTTTAGAAGTAATTATCTGTTACAGCTCTCCTTTTTTTGTTGTTATTTTATGATATGAAACATATAATTTTCAAACTTTAATGAACGTAGAACAAGTATTGCATTGCTTTATATTTTTTGAGATGAACCATAATAATTTAAAAGAGAAAAACATTGTTTTAGTTCAATATTTTTACTTTATTTAAGTCATGTCATAAGGTATTTTTAGTGCTATTTCGCCTTTTTAGAGCATTTTTAATGGCATTTTTTGCACTTTTTAAGGGCATAAGTTGAGATTTTTTAGGTCATCAAAATCCGGGCTCTATTAATTATGTATTGAAATTGCTAGATGCATGAAATTAAATATTACAATAAAATGCATAAACAAATAATAAATCTAAGCTAAGTAAAAGACGTAGACGAGAAAAAATTATATTTCAACAAATTTGATGTTCGCTGAATTTAATTAACTTCGCGTTAATTAATATTTTGACTTATGTGGAGAAACTTAGCTCAACTTTAGCACGCTATCTTACTTACAAATGATCAGTTGGGAGCAGCGATGGCTCAAGGGATTGAGCGTTCGCCTTCCAATGAGGTGAACCGGCTTCGAATCCCAGTCGATACGAAATCCGCATCCGGCTTGCACCGATCACAGTTCTGACGTCAAATGTCCTCAGTGGTAGATGGATCATGGGTTAGAGTCCCCTTTGCCGTCAGGCTAATCGTGGAATGTTCTCGTGGTCTTCCTCTCCATGTAACGCAAATGCGTGTTTGATCCATCAAAAAGTCCTCCACGATCAATCAAAAAGTCCATACTCGATCCAGGAGTTCCCTTGTCTTCTGGATTGGGCTCAAAATTTCAAGGCTATGGAGTTGAACATTAGTAGTCGTAAACCCATAAAATTGTGTCGGCAGTTCAGCGACGGTAATAAAATATAAAAATGATCAGTTGGAGGGCCGGGTTAGCCTGGTTGGTAGGACACTGGATCCACGTCAAAGAGTTCCTGGGTTCGATCCCCGCCGGCCGAAGAGTCCCTGTGTAGTAAATGATGACTGATGCACGCTAAATCTGTCGAGTAACAAAGTCTTCCAAGTTGCCATAACAAATCATACCTCTGGGATATTGATCCAAGAGTTTCCTTATCTTCTGGATTGTTTCAAAATTACAAGGCCACGGAGTTGAACATTAGTAGTCGTAAACCCAAGATTGGGTCAGCTGTTCAACGACGGTTATAAAATAAAATACAATGATCAGCTGAAGCTGACATCATAGGTCACATGTGTGGGTATTTGTGATCTTCTTCTCCTTGAAGTGTAAGTACCCAGTTGATTATGAAATTTCATGTTTTTACATAAATACACTATGCTAAAAAAAGCGGTGCAATTACGTCAGAGTGAATAGCTCTTAGTGTCTTATCTTTCATGGAACACGTAGAATTGAGCAACCAAGTCCATTTTAATAATAAATTCACCTCGATATCTAATTTTGTTTAGTTTTAATGAAAAGTGCTCCCAAAATGAACGGGAAAAAAAGAGAGGTGCAAAAATAAAACCAAGATCAGTTGTAGAATATGAATTTATATTCGTGTCTCGTCTTGATATAAACGATTTTAAATCTCAAAATATTCGTGATTCCACTCATTTGAAAATGGGTCAAGCTGGTATTATTAAATAGACAAAGACAGATAATTATCAAAACAAAAAATTTTAAAAACAATGAAGAATAATAAAATGGTACTAAATTAGAATTTTATTTAAAACCTAATGCATATATTTGTTGCCAATTGAAAACAATTGCCTCAAGTATGGATGCAATTGCTAGTATAGATGTTTAATGATCAAAAATCTTTATTTATCAAGGATAGTAATAAAAGAGGAGTCATAGCTTTTAACGAATGACCACATTTTTCTAAAATAATAAACAGATGAAATTGCTTCTTTTGTATATATTTCACACGCATTAAAAAAACAGTGATGGTTAAAAAATTTCAAAAAAAATTTATAATAGTAATATGAATTAATATCAAGGTTATTTCATATTGAAGTATTAAAAAAAAGCACTCAGGAATATCCAAAAATCTAAAATGCAATAATATTTTTTAAAAAAATAATAATTTTCTACGCATTAGTTGCAAAAGCATATTTCCAAAAAATCAATTTTACACTTGTTTAATCAAAGACATTACCTCTTTTCTTCAAAATCATGACAAATAATAAATTTAAATAGGAACTTCATATTTGTTTTTAAATTTATCGTCTTTCTTCCTTGATAGGTTGACTATTTATGATGAATAAAAAATATCTAGAAATCGAAAGATAAATTCCAATAAACGCTTTTAAACATATTTATTTAAAAAACTTTACCTTCTTATTATTTTCGAATTTTCTGATAAAATATTTATTTTTCATGGAACTTCAAACATATCTCTAATTAAATCGTCTTTCTTCTTTAATAGGTTGCTTCTATATATGATGGGTAAAAAAGATCTGAAGATCGATTTTGAAGTGCGAAAGTTATTAAAACTGCTGACGAAATCTGGAAATGCGATAATACACCAGTTTATGCAGTACGATGCAACAAATCAAAGACGTATTTACAGAAATATTTTAATAGCAATAGGAAATTCGATTGAAATCAATGATGAAGTGAACTTTAAAGAATTATCCAATATTTTGGCATTACTAAGTGATGTAAACATTTTCCCCAATTTAATTTCTTGCTTTCAATTTGACGATAATCCCTTTAAATTGTCTAATGTTGTTATTTTAGCTTGTAAACATAACCGATTAGAAATCTTGAACCGAATATTCAGTGATGATTCTTCGATTATCAGTGATCTTTCCACTAAAGTTGATGCACATTTTCCTCTGCCTGCCGACAATGATGAAGAAAGTCACAATGCCTTTTATTATGCTGTGCGTTCAGGAAATACAAAACTTCTTGAAGTTTTAATGAAGAAGTGGTCATTGGATTATTTTTCATCACACACCCAAGAACTGTGCTCTCTCCTGACGAAAAGCTTGAATGAGGTATTGCTGAAAAATGTCGATGTGTCAACCGAAATGAAGATATATGTACACAGCTTCTGGCTAGACAACTACTTTGAGCAAGTCATTCCATCAGACTCAATAGATTATTCTCACGATGATATCCAAGAGAGTTTGTCACTTATTTTGGAGTATAGTGGTTTAGTTCAAACTATATACGGAAACAGCAAATCAAAGTATTTGATGGTTTTCTTAGCGAAACAAATAGCTCAGAATATAATGTCATCCAAAAAATGGCTGAAATCTACATATGACAGAATTCCTTGGGAAGAAATGGAATTTCACTTAATTTCCTTCATCCGGTATCTGAGTAATCAAGGAAGTTACATCAACTGCTTTGTAACAGAAAATGACTTTATGAAATATCTTAGTAATTTTTGTGAGTGTCTGGTCAATGAAATCAGAGAAATTAATCATATGGACAAAGAAGCGCTATGTAAGCTTCCTGAAAAAATAAATCGTGATGATGTGGTAAGCCGCATCATTTCTAAATATCCATATTTCAGAGAATTTTACCAAAATTATGAGGTAATTCGTGATTATGAATCTCTCAATATTATTAAGAAATATGTTGACATAGTGACTGAAGTGAACAGTGTTGAAAATAGCGGAAAAACTGTCATCATTAGAGCATTGCAAGTTTTGGGAGAGAATTTTAAAAATACACTTGAATCGCCTAAACTCTCTCTCGCCACAAACGATTTTTTGATGGTGTTCATACCAAACAAAACAAACACTATTCTAAAATTTTTGAGAGACTCTTTTTCGCATGGTTTTCCTTTATCAACTTGTAAAGATATCGAGGAACGTTACGGCTCAGAGTTTTACACATTTGTTCAGGATGATGTGAAAAGTTTAAGTTATGCTGTAACTTCAGTTCTACAGAAAATAAAGTTTCGAACGCTTAGAACATTGTTAAAGAGGATTTGCAATTGTAAAAACGTTGATGAATATAAAGACATTTCTCGTATGATTCGACTTGTATATTTTGAGAATGACGTTACGCGTATTTTACCAAATAACGCTAATACAATAATTACAGCACTAGAAAAATTAATTGCTGACTTAAGTGAAATTATAAAAGGAAAAGCCCATTTTGAAGAAAATATCTTTACAAAAATATCAGAGATAATAAACTTTGAAAAAAGCTACTTAAAAAATTCCAATGCTGAGTTGTTTTTCTACCTTAACTTGCTAAGTAACGCAAGTATTCCTGAGAGATTATTGAGTAGTTTCACAATTTCTGAGAAAAAGAAGAACATCATGCACATGCTAAATGTTGTAAAACCTATAATGGTACCAGAAAGTTTCACAAGAATAAGATATTTAACTCTTGAAATTTTTAAATACATTTTGTATGGCGAAGTTGAGCAGGACATTTCAAATATTTACTCTATAGTTTTGAAAATATTTTATATAACTGAATGTCAACGAGATGAAATCAAACACCTTCAGGAACTGAAGAAAAATTTTACGAAGACTAAAAAAATAACTATTGATAATATCAGAAAAATAAAAAAATCATCAACAACGTCTTATCGAGATATCTTGTCAGATGATATTACATCTTTGAGAAAAATAGTACGTGAACATAATTTATCTGAATTAAACACAGAATCCTTTTTTATTTATAAAAATAACTTTAAAATACAAGCAGAAGTTGAAATGCTTATATTATCAATTTTGTCTAGCTTAGAGCATTCCAATCTTTTTTTGTTAACGACTCAGTTATCTAACGAAGAGGGTTCTCTGTTAGTTGGCAGATATCTAAGGAATTATCTAGCTCATGGAAATCCTGTTGTGGACGTTTTAATGGATTCCACTCAGTCGATATTTGTATTTGCTGTGAAGATTATCAAACATGACATTTATCAAAAAGGAAATTTCACAATGAAACGCGAAAATAAACGAGCGACTGTAAAATTTATTGTGGAAAATCAAGAAAGACTGTTTTGTGCTTTGTCTAACGGCTCCTTAGCTGATATGAAACATTGGATAAAGGAAGGAGCAGATATTTACGGAAGGGATCATGACATGAGAACTGCTTTACATTTTGCTTCGAAATCATCTAACAATAATGTTATAAAGTTCTTAATCGATCAAGGATTAAATCCAAGTGCCAAAGATATTAATGATCTAAATATTCTTCACATAGCTGCTGCATCAGGATGCAAAGATGCTGTCTCTTATATTATAGAAGATTTAAAAATATCAGTTGATGAAAAATGTAAACAAAATCAAACAGCTCTTCATATAGCTGCAGAATCTGGTTGTTTTGATGTCGCAGAAATTTTACTTCACCACAAAGCTACAATCAACGTTGGTCAGTTTCATGAGACGCCGCTATACATAGCTGTAATCAATAATAATGCGAATATTGCTGAATTATTTATTCAGAATGTCAAGGATATAAATTCAATCCGACATGCAACAGGAAAGACTTTATTACATGTTGCAGCTGACATCGGTCACTTCGATATGGTCGAGTATTTACTCGAAAAAGGAGCAGATGTTAAATCCGTATCAGATACATTGATCACACCATTGCATGAATCTGCTTACGCTGGTCATCTAGAAATTGTCACATTATTGATTTCTAATGGAGCAAACGTAAATGCTAAGGATTCAACTGATAACACACCACTTCATTACGCTGCATTTAATGGACAGTCATCGACTGCTGAAGTTTTGCTGAAAAAGGGTGCTCATTTAAATGCTTTAAACAATAAAGAACATTCACCTTTGCATGGCTCCATTATGAATGGACACTTAAATGTATTAAAAAAGTTTATTACACACGGCGCTAGTATTGAAGATGTTGAGAAAAGGGGTTTTCCCTTATTTGAATATGCAATCCCTCATAATAACTTAGAACTTATAAATATTTTAATCGAAAATGGAATGTCGATTAACATAAGGGATCCTAATGGTTGTACTCCTCTTCATAAAAGTATAAGAAATGGCTCGGAAAATATTTCGCTGAAATTAATCGAATGTGGAGCCGATATTAACTCAGTAGATAAATTCAATCTTACTCCTTTGAGCCTTTCGATCAAACTTGGTTACTTTGAAATAGCAGATAAATTGTTATCCGAACAGGTAAATATTCATTCAGTTGATTATAAAGGACACACTTTATTGCATATGTGTGTCTTAAATTTTAAACTTTGGGACTCTATGGGTGAAGAATATTTTACAGAGACCTACAATAACTTAGTCTCTAATCCAAGTAGGCTTAACATTTTTAAAAAGCTTGTAGAAAGTGGAATTAATATAGAAAGTGAGAATATCTTTGGCAGAACTCCTTTGCACTTAGCTTGTATCTCAGGCTATGATGATATCGTTCAATATTTAATTCCTAAATTGGTTGACATTAATACTTACGACAAACTAGGGTATACACCCTTACATCATGCTGTCAAACATAATCATCTGAAAGTTGTAAATGTACTCTTAGCCAGTAAACAATGTCGCTTGGACATCAGGACGTTTAAAAACGAAACAGCTCTATGCTTAGCTGTAACCAACAATTATACCGAATCAACGCGACTGTTGATCAAATATGGAGCTGATGTGAATGATGGGGATCCTCTTCATAAAGCTCTTATCCGTGGAAATCAGGATATGTGTATAATTCTTCTAGAAAATAAATCAACCGATATCCTGAAACAATTTGAAGATAAAACTGAAACGATTCTAAAATATGCTTCGATGAAAGGTTTAAAACGGGTATTATCTTACGTCCTGGAAAAAAAGAAACTTTTGGTGTCAGTTGAATTAAATGATTCTCTGTATATTGCCATTGAAAAAGATTACGATGACATTGTAACCATTTTATTAAATCACGGAGCTGATGTGAATTATGTTTTCGAATCTAATTTTGCCCCTTTGCATTTAGCTGTTTTTCTGGGACATTCCGATATCATTAAAATATTGTTAGAAAGAGGAGCAGACTTTAGCAAACTGAATTCCTATGATCAAAGACTTATTTCTTTGGCTGTATTTCAGGGTCATTTGGATACAGTAAAAATATTTTTTCAGAAAAAACTTACAGACGTAAATGAAAATGTAAATGGAGATACTACTTGGTTAAATTTTGCTGCTGAATGCGGACACCTAGATATGGTAAAATTTCTAATAAATGAAGGTGCTAATTTAAATGTAACTGACAAACTTGGGTCGAAACCTGTACACACGGCAGCTCGAATGGGGCATTTACACATAATTAAATACTTCCTTCAGTGCGACGAAAAATTAGTCACAGAACGTGGGAGTGGAAATACGACTCTTCTTCATTACGCAGCTGGTGAAGGTCAAACAGAAGTTGCAAAATATCTAATCGAAAAAGGAATTGATGTTAATGACGAATGTGGCAATGGGCTGAGACCAATTCAATATGCTACAAACTTTGGCTATGAGGAAGTAGTTAAAGTACTGCTTAACAATGGTGCTTTTTATGACTGCATTCAAGTGTATCGTATTAAAGAGAAAATTGTTAAAAGAATCTTTCTGATGATAAAAGAGCTTTTTCATTCAGTTATTTGCAACAACGTTTCAAAAGTAATATCACTTGTTGATGAGGGAGCGTGCATCAATGCAAAGGACTATACAAATACTACAGTTTTGCATTACGCTGCAAGGAAGGGTTATACTGAAATTACTCAATGTCTAGTTCTAAACAACGCAAATCCTAACGTATTAGGGAAAGAAAATGCAGCACCCCTTCATTACGCGTCAGCCTGTGGCAGAATTGATGTGGTTAGAATACTATTGGAAAATGGTGCTATATATAATGCGATGACCACTGACAAGAAAACTCCTCTTGATCTAGCATCAAGCGAAAGTGTCAGTGATCTATTGAAACTAATCGATAGTGCTTTCAAGTCTGTGCAAAACTATAATATTGAGATTTTAAATACTCTAGAAAAAATTAGAAATTCCGATGTATTAAAATCGATTATGTGTGCTAAGAATATAAAAGGAAAGACTTTACTATATTGTGCTATTGACAATGATTTTCCGAAAATAAATCATCTCAAGCACATATTTTACAATTATTCTGAGACCTACAATCAAATTTATAATCATTTATTTAAAGAAAATTTTAATGATGGTATAAACATGCAAACTAATTTGCTTCTGAAAATTTTGCCAACTCATGCTTCAGATAATCCAGATTCGTTAGAAATCAAAGAAGGTTCAGCAATAACACTGTATAAGCAGCAGAAATATCAACAAGCAATTGATATTTTTCAGGAAATTTTTCAGAGCAGGAAAGAGATACTTGGACTAAGTAACAGTCGTACTCAAAAAACACGATTTTACATAGGTTCTGTTCTCCATAGATTACATAGAAATGAAGAAGCAATTGAAATTTTAGAAGACGTTTACTTGCAACAAAATATTTTATTGGGATTAGATCATTTTGAGACATTGATCACATTGTGCAGTATGACAGGAATTTTGAAGAAACTACAACGGTATGATGATGCATTAAATAAATATAAGATAGTGTTTAAAAAATTTCATAAAATGTTTGGTTCAGACAACGCTTTAACTATACACGCTCAAGAATCTCTAGCAGAAATTTTAACTGATTTGGACAAATACAGCGAGGCTATATCTTGCTATAAATGCGTTTATGAATACAAAAATAGACAGTTAGGGCCGTCTCATCCAGACACTTTGATGTCAGATTTTAATGTAAAATTTGTGTCGTGTCTTAAAAATTTTTGCGATAAAACTCTCGATGATTTGCGAGATGTTTTAAATATTCAGGAAAGAGCTTTAGGTCAGAATCATGAACTAACGTTACGGGCGGAAACAAAATTGGTAACATTGTTATTCTCTAGCGGTAAGTTTAGTGAGGGATTTGAAATTTTAAAAAGAATTGGTGCGAAACAAAAAGCTGTCTTGGGGGAAAATAATTCAAAAGTTTTAGAAATCGAACAAACAATAGAAAAATTGAGAGATGGGGTTAATTTTTTCTATTTACTAACATCGTCGGGAAAAGCTCCGAACCCAATCGCTTCCCATATACAAGATACGTATCAATTTCAAACTTTTGATTCTGAGGGCACAACGTTTCTTCATTTTGTTGCAAGTGAAGGTCATACGTCTTTAGTAAACTATGCATTGAAGATAGGAATCAATGTTATGACTGTAACCAATAGAGGAAAAACGGCGCTGCACATAGCAGCGTCCAAAGGTCATACTGAAATTACCGAATTACTTCTCAAGCACGTAACAGATACTAGCTTTAATCAATTGACTGGCTTTATAAATGCTAGAACAAGAAGTAATAAAAATTCCGCATTGCACTTAGCTGCAGACGTTGAAACGGTTAAGATTTTGCTCAAGTATGGTGCCATCTACAATCTGCGAAATAAGGATGGTAAAACACCAAAAGATTGCACAACAGTAGACTGTATTTCAGATTTTTATCAGCTTATTGAGGAATTTTTCATCATGGGTTTGATTGGAGACAGCAAAATAATATCCAAATTTAGGAATCTTTGTTCAGAGGAACAATTAGCGGTTTCCAATGCAAGGAATGAGTTACACCACACAATACTGCAAGTTGGCGTGAATTATGGTCACAAAAAAATTATTGACAGCATTAAACTTGAAGTCTGAAGTTAAAGATTTCATTTATGAAAATATTAAAAGAAACTTTTAATACTCTCAAATCTGATATTTGCTTCAATTGGAAAGTTACAGATATTTTTCAAAACTTTTTTTAGTTTAGTTTATTCTTTGTCTGAATGCACCAATTCTAAAAGAAGGTATAAGTTTATGTATGTAAACTTGTCTGTTCCATTGAAAACACTTTAGACAAAAACTGCATTATCGATTTTCCTACCATTTCTTACGTAGCAAAGAATTGGAGACGATTAGTATTTATTTGAGTGAATTTCAAATAATCCTGGTCCTGGTTTAATAAATTACAGGAGAACTGTAGCTTGTATTAGAAATCGATTGCAAATTTGAAATAAACAAATCAAAAATATTTCAGATCCATAGTTGAATTTCGTGCAACAGAAAACTGAAAAAAAATTCACTAGTGTTATTTAAATGCTGTTTTTAAGAAATACTTTTGAATTATTAACTTTTACATAATATTTAGAGTTTGTTTTAATATTTAATCTCGTAACAAAATGTATATGTTCTTCTGTTTAGATATTGGTTTTATAAATGTAATTTAAAATAATTTTGAATTACTACTTCACATAAAACTAATTAATAACATAATTAAATACAAAGTAATATTCTATGGTGTGTCCTACTTTATTCAAATTTTCAACTTCAAAAATTTTGAAAAAGATATCCATTCCCATTGCTACAGTGTTTATTGCTACTATTTATCAGCAGTGATAGCGTATAACCAACTGCCCTGCTATGCATATGATCATGTAAATATATAAGTAACCTTATTTCTCAGTAAAATTTTGTTTAATTCACTAGTTGTAGATTAATTTGTAATGTAATACCCAATGTATATTTTGTAAATATTTATTTACTCAGTTTTTCATACTCAGTCTACCAATATCAATACTCAGTTCATCATATAAGATTACTCAAAGTTTACTTTCGATGTAAATATTATACATTTACAGTAAATATTCATCTAGCATGTGTCAATGTTTTTGTAAACAGTAATTAACATTAACCCTACTCCTTCAACTTAATATCCTTTTTATTATACTATTCAATGTACATTATTTCTGTAAATATACTTTATGCAAATATTCCAAATACTCTGATATTCTGGTTATGTCGTGCAATTAATGTTACAACTTTTCTAAATACACAAACCATACCTGCCAACTTTTAATCCCTTCCATTATCATTTTTCCCAGTGGTATTAAAATGGAATTAAAACTTCAATTTTAAGCAAACAAATACGTCGCATTTGAAAAAACTTAAGTTGACAACCATGATAGTAACGCATATTAATATATGTGCTTCATTTTTGTAAGAATAGTGGTGATCAAAATCATTTAAAAATTAAGTTTATAAAAGAAAAAAATAGTATATATTTACTACCACTTTAAATATGAAAATAAAATCTTCCGGAAAATCCGGAAGAGTTGGCAGGTATGACAAACGTCATTATTACTAGTCATGTATTTCTTTTTTTAATATTATTACTCCTTTGTGCGTATAAATGTATCTTAATTGTAACTTCTTACTCTATTGACGATGTTTGGAAGGTTTCGGCCATTTTTTTCTCTCCAATGACTTCAACTACGATAATTTCCCTATGAACTTGTCGCATTCATCTTGAATATGAATTCTAGTCTCAGTAAATTGTTCTTGTAATTGTAATTTGGTTTCTCCTGCTTTAAATTACTTGGAAAAAATCCTCCTTACACACACACATATATATATATATATGTGTGTGTGTATAATTCATACACAGTGCAATATCAATGCGATTTTTATTTTTATCACTGAGATATAAAAAGATTTTGATTTTTCAATATATCTAAGGGAAGTCATGTCATTCATATATAAAGAAGGTACTTGCGGCAAATGAATGCAAAAGGTCGATTCTAAAATTATTTCATGGTTTTGAATTTATTTGAATTAAGTAACAGAAATCATTAACCTCGTCGCCAACTTGTTTTATCTCTGGGAATTAGTGAATATGGGAATGGAATAATGTGATATAATAACATATTAAATAATCTGAGAATTGGGTAGTTGTGCTTCAATAAGAAGATCACGGATACCCACACATGTGACCTATGACGCCAGCACCAGCTGATCGTTAATAAACAAAATGGCGTGTTAAAGATGAGCTAAATTTATCCACATAAATTAAAATGTTAATTAATGTGAAGCTAATTAAATACAGCGTTGTATCACACATCGAATTTTTTAAAATATAATTCTTTCTTTTCTTTTTTTGCCTTTCTTTTACTTAACTTAGATTTATAATTTTTTTATGCATTTTATTTCAATCGATATATTTTTTTGTTTTGTGTACTTGGTATTTTCTGTGCATAATTATTAGTTTGTTTATGCTCTACATGGCTTCATGCCTGCCTTTGTGTTAAGTAAGAAATATATAGTGAAAGAATTGAAATTTTTGTGAAATACTCTTTGTGTAAGAATATAGAATGTGTCACTTAAGAAAATTGATACTTTACGGGCTTGGCTTACTCGAAATATAATGGAAAGCACAGTTTCTAACATAAGCAAATGCCACGTTTCAACAACCAATCGGAATCGAGATACCCACACTACGCCACTTGTTGGTACCCCATTAGAAAACACAACATTAAACAGTTACGGTTAAGCTATAGTAATTAATTTAGTACTTAATAGCAAAATTAAGCGTTATTGGCTTCTATCGTAGTATTGCGATTTTTTACGTTTCTCTTAAACGAATTAGTCCTAGTTCTCCATTAATTTTTCTTCATTTTCAGTTCACGTTTTTTTTGGGTCTTGATTATTAGCGTTGATTTCAAATTATTCAGTTTTATAGAAATACATTTTTAAAGCATTACTTTAAGTAGCATAAACATTTGGTTTCAAATAGTTTTAGGAATGGTAATTATATGAAGTAGTTCACGTATGCTACCGTGTTTACAGTAATCATTTAGTTTATCTGATATAACTATTAATAAAATATTTAACTATTGAAAAACCTTCAGTAAACTCATTTTTAAACCATGAAAGCTATAAGCTAACAATGATGTTACCTTTAAAGTATTTGAAAAATGAAACAGAACAGTCTATAATTTAATTAAAACAATGAATAACGCTAAACTAGTCAAAAAAAAATTCCATTTTTGACATGTCTCTCTGAAAAGAATTTGAGTAGTTCGAAGAATTTTACTGCTGAACGAATTATAAGATTCAAATCTCAAATTCGCTGGCCGAATTTCAGGACTGTAGAAAAAACGGCCAGAAAAGACATAGACACACAGACAGACACACAAGCAACACATTTTACTGTTATAAAATGTATATTATTTAAATAATAAAAACATCAATTTTAGAAATGTTGTCTAAATAGCGCAACAAACTGAACAGAACTGAGTTATGGCCTGGTTTCTTAAGAAGTGTAAATTTTTGTTAATCTTTTACCTCATTCTGTTATAAACAGCCTCAGTTTAAATCTGTCTTTGCAAAATATGCAAATTTATTTCACAACCCAACATGATCATTGCAAAAGATTTCGTAAATATTTAAGAACCTATTCAATCAGAAAGAAATTGAAACATAATAAGTAATTCCGATTATTTATATATTTTTCAATTCTTGTTAATGTTGTAATAAAACATTGTTATCTTTCGGTAGAGAGTCTGTGAGAGATCACTGTGACCTCTCAAAAAGTTTCACATTTTGTACGAGTTTCTAAACAAATTTTCCATTGCTTTGCAAATGGAACTAGGAAACTTTTTGTGATTTAGGTTTCAAGCAATCTATCAGCTCTGTGGCACCATCTAAAATTTCAAAAATTAACAAAAAATTATTTCACAGATAAGCACAAAGACAAGAGTTCATTTATCATTTAAATCAGTAGTTCCTGAACTTTTTTGTCTCGTAGACCCCTTGCCTTGTTTTTTGGTTTTGGGTAGACCCCTGCTTACCTGATATTGATTTTTTGTAAATACATCAACTTCAAATGTATTTTTGACAACTGGTATAATGCTACTCACTGTGAAAGATTTAAATTTCTAACTGTAGTGAAGTGTAGTGTGAAAAACTTTAAAAAAAAAAACACATGCTAACTTTATACATAATTAATTAAATTCAAATTAATTTAATAACTAATTTAATTTAATTAATATGTAAATGGAATGAAATAGTGAACTATTAAATCCGTTCTCCGCTACTAATATTATAATTGCGGAAATAAGTTTGTATGCAAAACTGTAGTAGTGTATTGTTGGTTTGCTTATTACGTTTTCACGTAAAGCAAATCTCCGTAATCTTGTGCGCTGATAAAATTGGAGCTCTAGCTAGCTAAACTCCACAGGCTAGGTTGACACAGGCTAGGCTACAATTTACCACGGAAAAATACTTTTTTGTGACAAAATAAAACCTTACACGCAGGGAAAATAAAAACGTACGCGGGCGGAGCTGTAGGCAACTGCTAGTTCATAATAATTCAGTTTTATACATCAAAGACTAATCGCAATAACTAAAATTTTAATAAAATGTTGACGTCATTGCTACTTTTATAATTTATGTAGAATGTAGATAGGTATATGTCTTTATATTATAAGGTAGTGTAATGTAAGTAAATAGGTACTATCAGTGTATGTTGATTATTCCATTCATGAAATGCCAAAATTAAAAGTCACGACCTGCTTATATGAGATCCACAATCGTTGACCCCCATTTTTATTTCATAGACCCCCAAATTTTTTTTCACTTGACATGGACCCCTTGCAGGTTGTTGTCGACCCTTGGGGGTCGATATAGACCACTTTTGGAATCACTGATTTAAATTGATAATATGTTGCTGTAGTTAAGAAACCTCATTCAATTTTAAAAAATTCGAAATATATCAGAATTCTCTTACCACAATTTTATTTTTAATAAAACATTGTGAGTGTTGCGATATCAAATAGTTATTGCAGAAAAGAATAATGCACAGAAAAAACATATTTAAGCGGCAGCAATTAGGCGACTTAAAATCTATTTCATCTGAGAATACAAGCATGAATTATTTTCCTTTCCTTTCAACCAATGAATATCTGAAATTCAATACAATTATTACAGCCTTATTTTTTTTAAAGTTATTTTTTAAAAAAGTAGGTATTGGCAGTTAAATTATTTTACAATGAGCATTTTATTTTAGCAAAATATTCGTATTAACCATAATTTATTTTGCTGGCTTACACTCATACGAAGTAAAAAAAAAGATAAATACTCAACAAAAGGTATTGGTTAATACAATGAAATCAAAAGTTATGCGTAAAACTAATATGAAAGCAAATAATTAATTCGAAACAGTTTTAATTTTTTATTTATTATTTTTTTGTTCTTCCTGGTGCAGAGAGAATTTTGAGAGGATGACCATCATTTACATGATGTTCCTTTTATGATCAAAAATTCGGTTGATTCATCACAATTGTTTTTTTTTTAAGATAAGCTCAATGTGCATCGTATTTTAAAGTGTTGGATTTTTAAAAAAAATTATTTTCCACACGCTAAATTGATGTATTAACTATCTCAAGATGGTTGCCGTTATCAGCGTGATGTAAGGGTATATACCCTTGTCTTTAATTTAATATGTCTATAATTTCAGTATTTTATTCCTTCGTCAAGTCTGGGTTTTTCGATATTAATTTATAATTACTTTATTTACTATTTGATTTGCAATCATCGTCCACTCAGTTGAATAAGTATCATTTAAATCACATACATTTTCAATGTTCCGATAAAAGTTCATCAGTCATCTCAAACTACCCTACTCGTAATGGTAAGGCTCAAAGGTGCATACCTGCCAACTCTCCCGGATTTTGCCGGAGATTTTATTTTCATATTTAAAGTGGTAGTAAATATATACTATTTTTTCTTCTATAAATAATATTTTTATATGATTTTGATCACCACTATTCTTACAAAAATTAAGCTTATATATTAATATGCGTTACTATCATGGTTGTCAACTTAATTTTTTTCAAATACAACGTATTTGTTTGCTTAAAATTGAAGTTTAGATTCCATTTTAATACCACTGGGAAAAATGATAATGGAAGGAATTAAAAGTTGGCAGGTCTGAAGGTGTTAAACCATTTTCCTTTGCAGCATTAGTTTCAAATAAATATTCAATCAGCTGTGTTTTTCGATATCTACTTAACAAGAACAAAATACTACAATGTAAAATTTAGAGTCAAAAGTTAAACGTTTTCAATGCATAAATTTGATAAATCCGGACACATCATATGAATTTTATTATCTTAACCGAGATAAGATACGTGGTGAGTTTTTTTTAATAATATCTGTACTCGTTTATAATGTCAAATCGTAACGCTTATCATTTGTATGTTTTCACTTTGAACTATACTTAGATTCTCTTATACGTATTCATTCGACATATTTAATTCTTCACTACTACTATGTAAGGTAAGAAGAATTTTTATCCATCTACTTTTAATGAAAATTCATAGTGGAAATTTCCATCACTTTTATATTTTTGCGTTCATAAACTGATAATGATAACAAGCGAAAATGGAAATAGAAGTCAAATAGTGTTAAAAGTAAAATGAACTGTTTTATTTACACTCAGCAGTAAAAGCGTTTAAATTACACTGAGGAACAAATTTTTTGTTACATTTATACAAAAACTTGATCTTGCTCTTCTAGAGATATCTAGAACGTCAGTAGAATAGTTCCTAATAAATCGAATTTTAAAAAAGTCGCATAGTTAAAATTCGTTTTTGTGTCTGATTTCGTAACTTAAATTACTGTCTGCTCTAATTAATTAACATATTTCAGGTCACTTCTTTGAACCATTAAAATTGAGTCCTAAAGCGTGAAAATTCTATCATTTGACCAAAAGTTATTCAGGATGGTCCGTATTTTTTTTTCTTGGTGCAGTGTTCATTTCGACAAAAAAATTGCTGAAAATGTCTAGTTAAAAAAAATGTAACTGGACAAAAAAAACCGTTTACAAAGTTAAAATTAGCGATTCGGAAGTATCTATGATCCGTTAAATGATCACATGTAACAGAAAACAGAAAGAAGAAAAAAATTCCCAGAGTAAACACATTTTGATCTGAGAGTAAATGAAACTCAAATAACATATGTAAGCTTTTAAATGCTCAAATTGTCAAGATTCAAATTAAAAAAAAAAAAACTCTTGCAAATAAATAAAAACTAAAATAAAATCAAAAGAAAGTTATCCAGTTTAACCACAGTTTTTGCGTTCATATTAATTAAATAAGTAGTGAAATAACTTTAAAGTTTGTTTATTTTAAAATAATAATAATAATAATTACTCACGCTTCAAAATGCTTAGTTAAGCTTATGCTAATGCTTAGTTACGCTAATGCTTAGTTAAGCGGATTTGTGTTATTCGGAATTTGAAAGCAATGAAAAATACGTTTTTTTTTCCGGAAATATCACGTTTTTGTGTTTGATTTCGTTACTTAAAATATAGAATTTAGCATACAAATAAAATATGGTATTCAGCACATTATTAGCAAACTTAATCGGGCCTAGATAATCTAGCATACATAAATCTAGTCTAGAGAAGCTTAGCTCGTCAAAATTAGATCATTGGATTAAAGGTTATTAAGGTTATCCGTTTTATTTTTTGCGCATTGTACAATTAGGTGAATTTTTCGAAATACTTTATTATACTGAGAAGCTCCAACATATGTTCAACTCAACTCACCGGCCTCCGAAATTGCAAGTAAAAGATACAAATATTGACCTCAAAAATAGTAAGGTAGAAACGACACTACAGAAATCCTCATTGTATTAGTGTACAAACAGCAAAGACAAACAAAAAAATACTGGTCAACCATATAACTTTTGAACGGTTGGTCGGATTTTCACTTTGCAAAGTGTTATGGCATTATCTCGAAGAAATTTCTCAAATTTTATGAAACAGTTAATTGTAGCCACGGTGGAATATGCTTAGTTTGATTAAAATAACGCACTTTTTCTGCAGAAACATATAAATTTTTCTATTACACTCGATTTAGAGAGCAAAAATAATCCCTAAAACCAAATTTCATAAACATCTGACAATTGAGACAGCATTTGGTATAAAAAATGAAATAAAGCCAATTTTTGGCGTTGGTAGAAAAGGATTTAGTTAAAGCACTACTTAGGAATCGTGCTACCTTTAACCAAATGTCAGCACTCCAACAAATATGCTGCGCTGTCAACTCCAACGCTTTTTGCAAGTTTAAGGATTGATAGACAATTAACCCTTTGCACTCGAGAAGCGACTGTAAGTCATCATTGGTGCTTGTAAATTACCCACCACTTTAAATATGAAATTTTTTTCATGTTAATGTTTAGTTACCACATCATTCAGTGATCTCCGGATATTATAATTATTAAGATTCAGAACATTGTGAAAGGATACAAATTACACTTATATTTTTAACACTCAATTCTTTTTCAAATATGTGCTTTTTTTCAAATATATACCGCCATGTCAAGTGGTGCCAACTTTTGAAACAGAAGTGGGTAAGTTTGAAAAGACTGTAATGTGTTGACTAATGTTTAAATGGGATCAATTTAGTCAATTAGCCAACAGTTTACTTGGAAAGTTCGAGAAAATTATTTGTCCCATAAATTTTGAAGGGTCAAGAGACTCGAAGAAAAAACTTCGGCATAAAATAACTTAAGAACAAATGACGACATCAATAACACTTTGATATTAACAAACACTTAATAGCAATATTTCTGAAACACATTGTTTCACTGAATAGTTTCTATGCCATAGATGCACTTGTATGATTATTTAAGACCTCTTCTTCCCTTCTTTCTAATCCTACTAATCTGAACCAGATTAGATCCATGAGTTTATTTGTCCTCATCACTCCCAGAACTACATCAGGTTACTTTAAAAGGACATCCCGAACAAAGCTTAGCAGGTGTTGAGAAGTAGCTTCATTCGTATTGCTCTTCGTACAAATCTCAAACGTCCTGTTGCCTCACGAGAATCTGATGGTCCTTAAGTGACCGGAAGTAAAATGTGTTATAACAGTTAGGTCTTTCCTGTGCCCCTCAAACTTTAAGGCAGTACCTGGACCTTCACTTCTATACCATAGATGCACTGGTGATTGGCTTCAAGAAATGCCAGTAGAGTTGAGTTGTTGAGTACAGTCAAAACTTTCTCACTTGACTGAGAGGCAGCAGTGCTGCTAGTTTATCTATTATATCATTATATTTCAGATATATATGAGATTAAATATCTATATATATATTTCTCTTACACGGCGACAAAAAAGCCTCATTACAACTCCCCGAATGGCAACGCTGGAAAATCGACCAATGATTGCCGGTGATTGCCAATATAGCGACCAAAAATCGACCAATGATTGCCAATATAGCGCTTTTAAAAACGGAAACTGAATTAACAATTCAGCTGCGGCAATCTCATACCATTAAGCTAGGCAGAAGTGAGTAGTCTTTGTCGATAGATCTCTATTTTAATATTTTGTCGAAAGCGCTTTTGTTAACGAATTTATATATTCGCGATCGCAACGAACTATAGGGGGTGTTGTTGTATGAGACTAATACCTGCGATTTCTATATGAACAGTCATTCATTTACTCTAGAGATGTCTTTAATGTAGCGTGTAGCTTTGCAACGTTCCAAAAATATCGTGGCTAATTATATTTAAAAAAGAAAAATTTTAATATCCTTTCTTATGCAAACGAAAACAAAATGGTATCTCTTTTTTTAGAGAAGGAACATCCAAAACACATCGGAAAAATATTTGCATATAAACGGAAAAAAATATGTATATTCTTATTAGAGTTAAAACCTAATGCCCGAGAAATAGTTTTACTAAATTTAATGATATAACATGAAAGGCCTATTTAAACTTTACATTCTATAGTTTTAAGAATCATATTACTTCAAAAATTAAAATGAACAAAAAGTATACATAAGCCTCATAATTTTATGAAATTTAATTTTGTAAACAAAGTTTTTTGACAACAATTTTTATCAAAAAATTTCAAGTTTCAATAAAAATCATTATTTAGAAACTAAGAAACGTAAAATAAAGAATGCTGACGAAACAAAAACAAAAAAACAATTCTTTTTTGTCGCCATTTTTAG